TAGTACTTAATATTTTTCATAATTTTTATTTTTTATTTTTTTTTGTTTTATATATGTTGGGAGGTTTGTGATGGTAGAGTAATGAATTATTGTCTTAGCATTGTATGAAAACTCAAAATACACTCGTGTAATTAAATAGAAACAAACAAAAAGATACCTCTTTTTTATGTGGAAAACCCTTGAAAGGGGAAAAAATTAGGGGGCTAGCCTAGCTGAAATAATACATTATATAGTTTTGAATGCATGTGTTCACTCTTCTTTGAAATTAGAGTAGATTGAGTTACAAAGTTGATTATTATAAATGTGCAACAGTAGTTCATCGATAATAGTTATAGTCTACTTGTAATGAATGTAGTTCTCGGTGAGAGCAGACTGCAAGGGTCGTATTCGATTCCTATGAAGACAGTAGTTCATCGTGAATGTTGTAGATGATGATTGTAATATCAGCTTATCATATAGACGGTAGTTGAAAGTCATGGTAGTTGTTGGTTGTGTGGGTTGCACATGGTTGCTTCAGGAGCATCAGTTGGACACATTGGGCGTTGTAGGGAGCTACAAGAGTTGTGAGTCACGTAGGTCGTAGTTAGTCATATAGGTCATAGTGATGAGCCTTGATGATGTCTGTAGGTCGCAAGTGTTGGAGTCGGGAGTTGAATGAGCTGTGAGTCATGTAGACTATAGTTGGTCACGTAGGAATGGTGAGCCGTGCTAACATTCGTAGGTCGCAAAGGTCAAAGTCTGAGGTTACATGTACAAGTTGTGAGCCGCATAGGTCGTACTGATGAGCAAAGATGATGTCTAAAGGCTACAGGGGTTCGAGTATGGAACTATACGAGCTGTGAGCCATGTTGGTTGTAGTTGGTCGCATAGACTATAGTGGTGAGTTGTGATGGCATAAGTAGGTCACAGGGGTTGGAGTTGGAACCTACTTGAGTTTTGAACTACGTAGGTTGTAGTTGGCCATATAGGCTATAGTTGTAATGGGTGATAAATTCAGTAGGTTGCAGAGGCCAGGTTCAGAAGCTGCACAAGCTATGAACCACATAGGCAGTAGTTGGTCATATAGGTCGTAGCAACGAGCTGTGAGGAGAGGGCTTTAAGTGTCCGAAGAAAGTCACAGTCTTTGGGATGCATCATTATACAATTTTCGGGATGTGTCGTTGCACCATACGTAGGATGCATTGTTACGCCATCATTGGAGCGTGTCGTTGCCATGTATTCAATTTGCATTGTTACATCATCTTCAGAGTACGTCACTGCACGATACACTGAACAATGTATGCTCGATTATTTACAAGGAAAAGTGGTGGTCAATGGTGGTTGATGGTGGCCAACAAGTGTTGGTTAGCAGTGGTTAATGTTTGTAGAAGTTAAACGTATTCTTTAGATTAGTAGTGCAGAAGCGATGCTAGATTTTAACTCCTTCTCCAAGCTTCAGTCTTCTCTAGATCAAGGTCTCCCCCCTCTCAAAAAGTGGGCAGGGCTATATTTATTTACTCTGAAAGAGGCATCTCTGCAACTAAAAAATAAATTCAGACCACGTCATTGGACATTCCAAAAATATTCCCTCAATTGGATGTCATTCGGTGAAAATTTGAGTGTCTTAATAATGTTAGAATTGAGTGATCTATAGCTCTTAGGATTAATCTCATTGAGACGCTCGATTTGATTTTAAGCATGTCAGTTTTGAAATTCATTCTTTAAATTATGTACTGAAAGCTGCCAAAAGTGGTTTAACTAGTTGATATATGCTTGATTTGACTTAGATTGGACCAATTTTGGTATCATTGGGGTTGTTTCATTTAGCCAATCAATTTGACCATAATATTGCTGAAATCAAAGTTTTGGAGAGTTTTAAATTGAAGTTTGAACATTTCTTGCTTAAAATAGTTGCTCGATATTCATTCCTTGCCTCAAGCTTCATGTCGTTGTTGATGGCGTGTCAGTTTCTCTTTATTTTCTGTTAAGACCAACGTTGTCTTCCTAAAATATCAAGATTCAGAGTTTGCTTTTTTTTTTATATATATAAGAATAGACTTATATTTAATACACACACGCACAAACAGAAATAAAAGAAAAGTTGGCTCAATTGGCCAGGAGTGCGCTCTCCTTTCGTCACCGGGGTTTGAATCTTGTCTGCACGTTAAGTTCTCATTTTGCTGACAAGCAAGCCGGTCGTGCCCAGATCTGGCCAGTGGACAAGGCTAGTAGACTCACGCAGTGGGCCAGTCTGTGCCACTGCAGTTTAATAGGTCGAGTCTATTGTCAGGCTCATGGGCTAACTAGGCCCCAACGGGCCGAACTGGGGAATGTTGGGCTAACATAGCCAACGCGCTGGCCTGGGGCATATGTCAATAATTATTGCATGAGGCGACCACAAATTCAGATGATCGTCTGGATGAATTATCATGCAATCCACGACAACATGTTCATATCCAAATAGTCATCCCAATGTACAGTCAACCCTACATAATAATTTTCCGCCAGTGTCTCTAGAGAGAAATTAAAAGAAAATAGAAGCAAGAATTCTCCTCTTTTATTGCATGAGTCATTTCCATCCCCCATCTTCTTCCACGTTTTTGATGAGTTCCCTGCCAGCCTAATTCTCTCAGCAAATTCATATTTGTTTTGTTAACCAACAAATGGATCAGGTTGGATTTCCATCAGTATAACTATCAATTATTATTTGTGAAGCACGAGGTTACACATATGCTTAAATGTTTTACGCAGTGGATATGACAGACAAAATGCAACTATATGCCAAATGAGTTCACATGCAAGTCTCCTGTATTTTTTCATAAATAAGTATTATATACACATAGAAAAATTGTATAGTAATTAATTACAAAATTAAATATTATAGTAATTAAATTGCTGTAATGTTAATAATTGTTTGACCATTCATTAAAACGTAAAATATTATGAAAAAGATAAGATAATGAACATTGATATCTGACATAACATTTAATTCTATATGTTGGAAAAACAAAATTTTTGTATTCATGTTACAATTCAACAAATTCGTCATTGCAGCAATATTGCTGCGCATGGGATCATCAAGTCAGTGTGTCACTTGCCCACCCTGAAAATACAGCACGGCCCCAAATAAATCAACATTTGCAAGAAAATCGTAATACAATTAGCAAGTTTATAAGGTTGCAGATATATAAATACATAGAAATTATGTGGTATGCATATAAATGTCCCAAAAAAAAAATTTAAAATTGGATTCTTTGTTTCAGACTTTCTGGGAGGCAGAAGTCAAAAAACATATGCAGGAAGTTTGGAACGTGGCGTTGTTGTGGGGTTGGCTTGTTATAAAAACAGGTGAATTGGGAGTACAGAGCCAGGCTAGATTCTTCCCCCGGTGCTGTGCGTCTACAGGGTTCTACTCAGGTTTCTGTCTTTTGTGGGGAGAAGTAAAATAATGGCATCTCCAGCAGATGAAGAAAACGGGCTTTCCTCCTCCATGAGAGCTCCTCTTCTTCAAACACATGGACGCCTACCAGGCCATGAGGGAGAAGCTACTTTTGCAAGGACTTGCTTCAATGTTACCAACGCCCTCTCTGGTTCTCTCTCTCTCTCTCTCTCTCTCTCTCTCTCTCTGCATGTCTGTTTGAATTGAACAGTATAGTTGTAGTGGTGGAGTCAGAGAAGCTGTAAGCCTAGGGCTGTGTTTGGTATGCTTCTTTAAGGTGGATTTAGGTGGGATTTAACATAAATACATCAAATGTGATTAGTAGATTATCAGAATAAATTATTTATCTGGATAAACTGTAGCTATCCCAAACAGACCGTGATTAGTAGATTATCAGAATAAATTGTTTATCTGGATAAACTGTAGCTATCCCAAACAGACCCTAAATTTTTCTATCAACCTAAATTCAAAAATTGCTCTGGCGTAACGCAAATCTTGGAGTTATTAAATCGGATTGGGAGATGGATTTAAGGGAATCACGTGCTAAAGTATTAAATCCTGAAATGAAATGCCAAACATAGCATACTATTTTATATGAATTTAATTGAAATCAGAAGAGATGGCCCAAGATTGAGTCGGATTATACCGGATGATCGGTCATACTAGTCTCGTGTGAATGACCAACAAGTGCACCTAACAAAATCTATTCATAGGGCTGGCTTAAAAAGAAAACGTGAGGAATTTTAGAGAATCTCATCAATGTGGCGTTAGATGTTGTGTTTCTTCATGTAGGATAAGCTCTCCTAGTGGTAGGAGAGATACTGATGGTCCGACGAAGTTCTCAGCTCCGATAAATTCAAATTTATTGAATTTAGTAAATACTACTTAACTTAAATCTACCCTTATCTTTCTATAAATAAGAAGATTCTAAGCAACTATGCATGGTTTCACACTTAAATCTTCTAGTAATTATATATATTACTTGAACAATTGTCCTTTCTTACATAATTTTGGGTAAATATTTTCTTTTTTTTTATCTCTCAATTGAAATCTTAATATTGGGACTAGGGGTTTGTTTGTGATAGTGTTTTTGCTGCTTTACTTTCTCATTAAGTTTTAGAAATTTTTATGATGGGAAACTCCTTTTAAAGCGAGATTTGAGAAGTGTGAAATTTATAAAAAATGATTTCTGAATGTTTAAGATACATAGTATTCATAACACCCTCAACAACTTAGGGTTATTTTGTCCATAACAATATTACAATTATCCTTTAATGTTTATGTAATATATTTGCTTTATGGCATATTTGCATAAGTATATGAAGGCCCCTTCTTACTTTAAATACTCTTATGTCGTGAAATAGTTATAATTTTCTTAGTCTCTTCTAATCGTGCATCATTTACTGATTTAGGAAATAATAACACAGTTGATTGAAACCAACCCAACCTTTTCGTCCTAAAATTGATAGCAAATTATCAGTTTCAATCATTAATCAAGTCAAATTTTTTAATGAATTAAACTAATTCAAGTTGTTGTTTTCTCTGGCTTGTTCTTAATTTGTTCCATCAGGAATTGGTGTGTTATCAGTACCATACGCGCTGTCAGAAGGAGGATGGATAAGCCTTGCTCTTTTCTTCCTGGTTGCCCTTGTATGCTTCTACACCGGTCTACTCCTCCAGCGTTGCATGGACGCAGACCCACACATCAGAAGCTATTTAGACGTTGGAGAGTTTGCTTTCGGTTATAATGGAAGAATTATTGTCGCCATTTTCATGTATATAGAGCTTTACCTCGTTGCAGTTAGCTTTCTGATCCTAGAGGGTGATAACTTGGACAATCTGTTTCCCAACTTAGAATTTCAGCTTCTATCTCTGACAATAAAACAAAAGCAGTTCTTTCTTTTAGTCTCTGCTCTGATTATACTGCCAACAACATGGTTAAGAAATTTGGGTGGTCTTGCATACATCTCTGCCGGAGGAGTGGTGGCATCGGTGATTTTGATGTGTTCTTTGCTTTGGATTGGAGTCACTGAAACTGGATTTCAGATGAAGGGAAGAGTTCTCAATTTGGGTGGACTGCCTACAGCTTTGGGCTTGTTTTTTGTTTGTTTCACTAGTCATGCTATGTTTCCGACCATTCAGGCTTCAATGAGGGAGAAAACGAGGTTCTCCAAGGTGAAGTAACTAATGAACTATTGTGGGATGTGATTTCTAAGAGTTTTATAATCTTTTCCATGAATTTATGTCTCTATTCGGAGAAGTCTTCGTAAGCATAGATGCTTAAAACCTTTTTAAACACTGAAAAAGGACAAATTTAAAAATTAAAAATTCATAAAATGGACTAGATACACATATAAATATTATAATAAGTCACGACTCCACCTTCTACATTCTTGATTTTGTCCAAATACATATGCCGAAAGTCCAACTTTATTTTTTAGGGTGATTAATTTTTTTAAAATATTGGATAAAAAATATGTTTAAAGGGGCAAAATTGTTGAATTGCCTTAAATATATGACAAAAAATTATTAAATTTTACCCTTTTATAAAAAAATTCTCAAATTTGAAGGTGAGTACTCCAGGACATAGCCTGATGCCGCCCTTGCTGTATTCAGAAGATGAAACCACTCATGCGTTAATTATGCCAATACAATTGAAGTTCAATTATTCACGGCAAAGTTGTTATTTTTGATTCAATGAAACAGTTTCCCATTACAGGTACTCGTAATTTCTTTTGCTCTTTGCATATTCAACTATGGAGCAATGGCTGTTCTTGGTTATCTTATGTATGGGGAGAACCTAAAATCACAGGTTACACTGAATCTTCCACCCGGGAAGATTAGTTCGAAGATAGCAATCTACACAACACTGATCAATCCATTGGCTAAGTACGCTCTAACTATAACGCCAATTAGTTTTTCCGTAGAAGAATGGCTGGCATTCCATCTGAAAAGATCTCACGGCACTCTAGTGAGGACTCTCCTGTTGCTCAGCACAGTCTTGGTGGCATCATCGATACCTTTCTTCGGCTACCTTATGGCTTTCATTGGATCTTTTCTTAGCATCATGGTATCAGTTTTGTTTCCTTGCGTGTTTTATATGAAGATCTACAGAGTTTCTTTTCAAAGGAATGGGTTTGAGATGGTTGTGATTGTGGGAGTTATGGTTACAGGTGTTCTGATTTCTGTTGTAGGCACTTACTCATCTATTGCACAAATCATCTCCAGTTTGTAGAGGAATTTGTTGTATCGAGATGTCTGTCAATCACAATTTCGTTGAATGAATCCTACTAGCAGGAACATTTAGGGTTCCTAGTTTGTTTAATTTTCAGATGTTTGAGCTTGATTGAATCAAGTTTCAAAAGGAGACCTTGAATGAAATTGGTTTCAATAGTTTTTATTTTCTTTTTACATAAATCAGCAGAATACACGAACATAAGCGCATGCACATGTATCATTATACCAGAACTTTTATATATTTTTCCTTGTGGTCGAAGTGGCTGAACTAAAGTCTACCTGTCGATGCGGCTGAATCGAAGCCGAAGTGGTTGAATTAATGACTAGTAAAGATATTAATGACAAATATAATAAGAGGTCATAATGGCTAGTAAAGACATATGTCAACTCCTTATTAAAAAGCAACACTCGACACTTGAGACTCAAATCTCTTCATCTAGACTTCAAGGACAAGTATCTTACCAGCAATGCCTAACACCTACATCACGGTCTTTTTGTCAGAGACATCAGAGAAAGGCGTCCTATATATTACATCGATTATTTTATAGTTTTTTTTCTCTTATGCATAAAAAGTGAAGAAGAAGGAATGGGAGGTAGTCTCTCTCTCTCTCTGCCCTCTCTTTCATTGCCTCTTAAACCTTGGATTGATCGTAGTTAAGAATCTTTCCTAAGATTCTCTTAGCATTTTGGCCCACCTTTCACTTTCTATTATGTCTTCTTTATAGTACTTGATCTTTGACCAGGTTGTATGGCTATAAGGTCATTCACATACACACCACTCAATTCCTATGAATTTATAAATCTAACAAAAAAACTTTCTTTTTTATATTTATATCACATAAAAATTATCACCAATTTAATATTTAAAAAGTAAAGGCGGCATGCACGTCAAAATTAAAATATAGATGGTAGATCTGTAAATATAGAAAAACTGAGTGCTATGTGTGAATCTTCCTTCCCTGCAAACAGCAGCCAAAACTTTCTTTTTTATATTTATATCACCCAATTTATTTATATCACATAAAAATTACCACCAATTTAATTTTTAAAAAGTAAAGGCGTTATGTACGTCAAAATCAAAATATAGATGGTAGATATGTAAATATAGAAAAACTGAGTGCTACGTGTGAATCTTCCTTCCCTGCAAACAGCAGCCAAAAGAACGCCCCTTTTATTATGAACAAAATAAAATAATACTAATGAGAATGATAAAATAATGGAATAGTTGGAAGATATTAGGAGATTTTTATTTTTTTAAATAAATAAAATATCTTAATAACTAAATTTCTAAAATTATTTTTATTAAAAATCATTCATATATTATTGTAGAAAAATAAAACTTATAATTGTATAAATTTAATTATGAGAGAAATCTTAAATAAACCCTAGCGTTTCTATCAAATTACAGCAACATGAACATAAATTATACAAAAATGTCAACGTTACATGATGCAATATAATTATGTTAGTTTTGTGTGTGTAACTGTCATTCCTTTAATATTGGCTATTTTACCAGCTTTCATTTGGCTCTTATCGACTGATAATTATAAAAAGGGAAATTTTAATATTTATATTTATAGAACTTTGGTGTCACTAAGCTGTGCATGAAAAGGTGAATTTCATTTTTTTTATAAATAAATAATTTTGATAATTGAATCTAAATCTGTCTGGTGGGTCATGCATAAGGAATTGAGCATTGGACTAAGAGAAGAAGATTGAGAGAGCGAGAGTATTCTTTGGTGTCACTAAGCTGTGCATGAAAGGTGAATTTGTTTTTTTTTAATAAATAATTATGATAATTGAATCTAAATCTGTCTGGTTGGTCATGCATAAAGAATGGAGCGTTGGACTAAGAGAAGAAGATTGAGAGAGCGAGAGTAATGAGAGAGGACTGCACCAGTGCACCAGGCTGGGAGAAAATGAGGCATTCTTGGGCTCGTTGATCCACTTTCTTCTATGAAATTAGAGGTTATAAATGAAGAGTGCCTCCAAAAAATGCTCTTCTTTTATATCACGAAACTCTCATGTTTATAGAAAATAAGACGAATAAATAATAACGAAAAATAAAACATAATTATTTTCAAGGTTGGCTGCAAAGACATGGAAACCATGAATTCTCAATGTTTTCCCCTCGTCGCACTCTTGTCGTCAAAGTCTAGCTAATCGTGTTTTAAAACAACTAATCCGTTTCTTAATTGCATGTTTTTAACCTCTAAACTGGAGGAAACAGCTGAGTAGCCCCCTTTCTCATAGGGGCCGTTTACTTGGCCAAAAATAAAATGAAATGTAAGAGATTTATATGATATTATGATTGTAATATATTTGAAATATTTTTTATTGTTTAGCTTATTATAAAAAATGCATATGATTTTACATGTTTTGTTTATTTTTCAAAATATATATTTTTGTTGGCAAAAGAGGGAGACCGGCGCGACAAATGACCGTCAGCTAAGGTGAGAGGCGGCAGCGGCAAAGACGAACTGCGGCGGCTGCAGACGGTCGATGAATACGGCAAGAGGCGCTGGTGGGTGGTCGTCGCGACAAACTACAGAGGGGTTGGCGGCCAGGCGGCGGGCAACGGCCGATCATGGTTGGAGGGCGGTATACAATGGGTTATGAAAGAGGGTAGGCCGCAGCGACTGCCGACAATGACATGATACCCCGACGGCGATGATGGCGAACTACAACAAACGGTTGGGGATGGCGAGCATCGATGGCGAGCGGCCGGCGACTATCAACCAATAGGCGTGTGAGAGGCGGAGGTCAGGTGGCAGGAAGACCAACAATGGCGAACGGTGGGCGGAGGCGCGTGGTGGTGACTGGCATATAATATTTTACATAAATTATATAATTCAAATTTGATCAAATCGGCTAAATTCAATCGGTGTAAACTTCAAATTAATTAATACTTTATATTATATTTATAAGTTTTGATGCCCAACTTATAACTTTCTTAAATCCCTATAAAAGAAAAATTTACACTGCACTACTAATTCACTCACCCAAACAGACGTACATTTCACTCAATTCCCATGCATTTACATATTTAACACCTAAATTTTAACTTTGAAATTCATGCCACCAAAAATTTTGCTTGAAAATGTGATATTAAGATTTGGATGGTATAGATGGGAAAAAAAGTGTAGGTTTTAGGAATTAGGTGATATGAATGTCAGTGCCCCAAAATTTAAATATATTTTTACAATTAATATGCTAAAGCTTATCTATGTGGCAGATGACAAGATGCTCTTGTAATTAATAAATAATTTATATCTTTTTTTAAGCAACTTATCTATGATAATTAGAAAGATTTTTAATTTTAAGTTGATTAAAATTTAAATTATACAAAAGTTAATTTTAAATTTGAAATATTCATCCCTAGAAATAACTTTTATGGTAATTTCAAATTAATCTCTTCCTCCACAATATAGCCCTCAAATACATGTAGAAATAAGAATGATATTTATTAAATATTTATTGATGCATGCATGACAATTCATGATATTGGAGTAATGAATTATTGTCTCATTTTTGCACAAGAATTCATCACACATTAAAGTAAAAGAAAAACAACCATTAAGTACTCCTCAAATTTTTGCATGAAAAATCTTGAAAGAAAAAAATCCATGGGGGCTAACATACTCAGAATAATCAGTTACGAATTGATAATTACACACTCAGATCTTTGTCTCGTGAAGGGGAGATGACTGCACAATTTTTTAAGATACATAGGGGGTGGGGGGCGTTGTAACAGTATCAGGACTAAGATATCCCTTATTAGAGGTGTGTAAGTAATCAATATTTAGCATGATTTGTTGGTCAATTAGGTGCTTAATTGTTACACAAAACATGTTAGAATTCCACAATGCTCATTGCGACTCCACAAGGGGTTTTGCACAAAGAGTAGGTGGCGTTTGATGGGAGTTGACGGTGGCCGACAAGCGGGCGTTGACAGTGGTCATTGACTGTAGAAGCATGAAGCGTCCGTTGGTTCGTTTGTGCAGAATACTGGACTCCAACTCCTCTTCTCCTGGCTCTGGCCTTTCTCTAACTAAGAATTTAGCCTCCTTGTTATGATGGGGGTATGACTTTATTTGTAGATTCCAGATTATAAATAATAAATAAATCCAACCCATTCTTATATAAATGACCTAGAAAAGTTCACTTGATCAAAAGTGTCTTAATAGTGTCAGACTTGAGCAATCTTGGGCTAATTAGATTTATCTTGTCAAGATCAGATTCGAAATTCGTTTGACCTTCTAATTATACAATGAAAGCTTCAAAAAAAAGGTTTAACAGATTGATGTGGGCTTAATTTGGCTCGGGTTAGACCAATTTTGATATCATTGGGTTCATCTTGTCGAGCCGATCAGTTTGACTGTAAGTTTGTTGAAATCAGAGTTTTTAAATAGCTTTTAGTCGAAAATTGAATATTTTTTATTTAAAAAATTATCTTTAGAGTATTCTCATGTCTCAAGATTTATGTGAAAGTATCAAGCATGATATATTTAAAATGGCAATATAAGTTTGATTTTTTCTATTATTGTATAAAAATATTATGATGATTTAAAAATAAATAAATAAATCAAAAGAAAGGTGAGGGTTTAGTCAAAATGAACTTTTGGATGAATTTATAAACTTATTTTCCTTTACTAACTTCGCTCCGCCGCGTGTCACGTGTCACGGAACTGGTGGAAGAGTGTCCAGAGCCGGCGACATTGACTAACGTCCGTTTTTATATCCGTTAGTTACGAAGCTATGACTCCCAACTGCCGTTAAGAGAAGAACGGCAAAGGAGGCTAGGTCCTTGGTCGAATTCTATAGAAAGGAGCTCGTCTTCGTCGTTCTCATCGAGATCGAGGAGAGAGAGAGAGAGAGAGAACGCGGAGAAGGGAGAGAAGATCTTGAGGCAAGCAGCCCTTCTCCTTCTTCTTTATCTTCTTCTTCACTTTTCTTCGATCGGTTTTTGTTCACCGATTATTTCATGTATTAATCTCTCAATTGGCGTTGATTTAGCTGGAATGGATTTCCTGCAACGTTTTTCTTTAGTTCCTTTTAGTTTTTTGGTAGATTTATTTTGTGGCGTTTTTGCTGGCTTTCAGGTGGCGGAATCTACCTGGTTCTTGCTATATTGGAAGATTTTCGCCAATCGGAGGTTGATTTCGTATATAAATGGGGGATCATGTTGTGTTGTGTGTGGATCGCCTGACAGATCCTCAGGAGGTGGAAACGAAGCAGCCGGGAGAGCGTTCCCCTGCTTCTTCCTTTGTTTCTGTCCCACCAGCTGTGGGTGGTGGCAAGGAGAAGGGGATGGAAGAAATGGTTGATGCGAAAGAAGAGGATCCGCTGATTCAGATGGTTGAGTGTCGCATTTGCCAGGAAGAGGATCATATCAAGAACCTCGAGACCCCCTGCGCTTGTAGCGGCAGCCTCAAGGTAGACGTCCTCATCCCCTTTACCAATTGTTTTGACTAGTGGATTTGTTGCTTTGCATGCCGTGCTTAATATTATTCCTTTGAATTCTTGCTTAGTTGGTATATTTTTGTTTCATTATTTTAGATATAATTTTGATTTTGATTAGATTTTGTGTTTCCTATCAACTCTGCTACCTGTTTTGTTTTGTAAAAGATTTAGAAGGTTATCTGAATTTTCTTTTGGAGATGGTTTCGAAAATTAAATTGTATTTTCTAGCGTCCTTTTTGTCTAATTATGATTTTTGAATATTGCTATTATCCAACCAGTGTTCCATTTCTTTCAAGACCATTGCTATTGTTCTATTGTACTTTGTAATTTGGTTGAGCCAACGCCCCAAATTTTTAAAATGCATCATGCATTAGCCTTTTCCTTAGGAACAATGGCTACATCCATAATTCTTCTATCTTATGCATTATTGAGAAAGCATTGTAGGTTTTCGTTGAGTCATAGAATTGCGATTGTTTCCACCCTGTCATGGAATGTCAGCAATTCATTGGGTTAAGATAATTTAGGAAAATCATTATACGCATGTTAAAAGGTACATTATATATAGTAAATATGATTTCCGAGCCTGCTACGTTGAAAGATATAGCACTAACATACTTCCCTGTGCCCAGTTCATGTTGAAAACAAGAATTCTTTCAGATTTCTGTTTCATCATCTCTTTCTATTTACCTTGTATTTTTTCATTTGTTTTGGACTATATTCTATACATTGTTCGATTAACTTGGGATTGATGTAATCGGTTGTAGTTTTCATTGAAACGTACCTCTATTGTTTGCTAGGCTTTCAAGCATGGTTTGCTTTTGCTTACAAGCTGTTTTCTTAATCATAGTTCTGGTTAAAGAGGATATTTTGTTATTTTGTTTAAACTGGCAGTTTTGTTTGTTCTTATAATGCTGTGTTTTGGAGTTTGCAGCTCTTTATTTGTTTATATTAAGTTCGTACTTCAAATTGGTTTTTCTTAGCAGTTATAGTTCTTATTTTCTGATTTTTGGCTTCTCATATGCAGTATGCTCATAGGAATTGTGTTCAGCGATGGTGCAATGAGAAAGGAGACATAACTTGTGAAATCTGCCATGAGGTTTGTTCAGTTTTTCATTCTTTTTGGTTCGCAAATTTCATGTAATGTGTATGCTAAATCATAATCAATTTTTGCTTACCAAACTTTTGTACTTCATTATCATTGACTGGCAATTCTGGATATTTATTTTATAGAATCAGTGAAAATATTTAATTTCTCATTCTATTGAACTAATATTTCATTATCAGTTTCACTGGAACAAAGATACAATTTAATTTTCAAGCTATTTGTAGTTTTCATATTGTTGTAACAGTTGGGTTTTAATTTGTTTTAAACATTATGTTACTTAAAGCTAGAGAAATGAATCGTCTGGTCTAGCTGAAGTGAGGATCTAATTTGATAAAGTGCTCATTAATTTAACTTTGGCAATAACCATTTGGTTGTGGCATTGCCTGCCCTTTGCTCTCTAAAGTGGATATATATGATAGATTTTATATATGCATTAGAGGATAGGTCTGGAGAAATGATTAGGTTCCATTCATTGTGAGTGGTTATTTCTCATTCATTGTGACTTGTGGGTTTGATTTATGGATTCATTTTATTTGCAATGTGAAGTTTAGACTGCATGTATTAATTTGTCTCCAAAATATTTAAGGGGCCTCAAGCATAGGTACGCCTATATATATATATATATATATATTTCAAACCCTATATTTTGGGGGCCTCAAGCATAGGTACGCCCTATATATATATATATATATATATATATGAAGTTTAAAATAAAGATGAAGTTGTTGTTTTCTGATAATTCACTACTTAGTTGGATTACCTAGAAAACAATGTTACTGCTATCAATATCTGATAATTCACTAATTTGGATTACGTTTTTTGTTAATTCACTACATTTTGGGGATATTTACATACATGCCACACAATTTTTATGTGTTTACATATCTAACGCTTCAGCATTTTTATTTACATGCATAAATATCATATAAAAAATATTTTTATTACTTAACTTTTTAGAAGTGAAGCCCACTTTTTACCGCTTCAGAATTTTTATTTACATGCATAACACCCAAATCTTTAATATCATATAAAAAATATCTTTATTACTTAACTTTTTAGAAGTGAAGCCCACTTTTTCACTCACAAGTTTATGATTCCAAAGTGTTATAAATACAAATATTAAACAATAGATGTTAGATACATAAATACGTAAAATTTTTGTGGTATGACTGTAAATTTCATCACACTTTTATCCTAGAATAATGGATTTGTTTTTAGATGAAAGGAAGATGTAATAGCCTATGCCATGACTAAAATACGTCAAATACACTATCAATGCCATTCACTCTAATCCAACCTTTTGGAGTTATGGCTCGTCACACATCATTTGTTCCTATGCCATTACTAAATATCATTTTTTGCAAACCTATTTATATGACTGCTAGCTATGCTACATTTACCATTTTTATTTTGTAATAATTTTGCTTTATTTTTCTCTATTAGTCTTAGTGGTTCACTACTTCCCCTAGTCATGCATGCCCAAATCTCTCTAGTCTATTTCATCGTGTCTTATCTTCAGTCAGGGCTACGACCACCTTACCTATAATATAATATCTAAATCACACTTTCTCTAGGCGTTCAAAATCGCAGGCTTATGATTCTTCTTTCTTTTGTCTGTTAAGCTTGATTAACATTTAAAACGGTAAGAGTCTTATTGGTTCACTACTTCCACTAGTAATGCATGCCCAATTCTCTCAAAATTTCATAGTGCCTTATTTTCAGTTGGGCTACTACTACTACCTTACCTATAATATGATATCTAAATCACACTTTCTTTAGGCATTCAAAATCACAGGCTCGTGATTTTACTATGTTTTGAGATGATTTGGAGATAATTAATTGCATGATTTGAGAGTTAGTCTTCATTAATAGGCTTAACAATTTTATAAGTAGATTATTTTTTTCTACATATCTGGTTGTTGAAACTTGAAACGTGTATATTGCATGTGAATTCATAGCGCTGCCGAAAATATAAGATTACATGACATGATTTTCATTGATATAATTAATGGTAGGCTTAGTTAAAAATTGTTTTGGTCTAGAAAAGATTCCTTGTATGGGAAATTTACTCTACCTGTTAGTTTTATGTGGTTGTGCATCTCTGATTATTTTGCTAGGTTTAGTTTTATTTGAAAGTTGGCCTAAATTTTGATTTTGCATTATGATTGAAAAGCTTTGATCTATAATCTGTAACGTGAAGTTTATCAAAACCTTTATCGTATATATCTATTTTTGATTGGGCCCCTGCACTAACCCGAGGAAATGAAGATTTTTAAATGTATATATTTAAAAATACATTTATTTTTGAATAAATATTGTATATACTTATTAATAAATTTTGCTGCACAAAATTTTGAGATCTATTCACTTCTGATGTATAAGTTTACTTCCATAAGAACTATTATTGTGGATTTCAAGCTGAGAATGGCTAATAACTAACCATCCTAAAATTTACAACAACACTCATAAAATGAATCAAAATAAAGTGATACTGTTCAATTCTAACCAAGACAATATCTTGCCCACAACAATGGGACAGTAGGGAAACTCAAAGTTCCATATATTATTTGATGTTTTATTCTATTAATTAACACTTCTATTATATATTGCTAACCTCAGCATTTCTATCCCTTCATGCATATTGATTAATGGGAGTATTTTTCATATTTTCAGACATACAAGCCTGATTACACAGCACCTCCTCGTCCTCCTGACGAAACAACTATTGATATAACGTAAGTTATTATAATTTGTGTTTAACACTTCAGTATTGAACCTGAGGAGTCAGTCCATTTATCTTGAAAAAATTATTTCTTCTGGCATTTTGTTGAATATATGTTAGAACTGATATATATCATTCTGTGGTACAGTGGGGCGTGGACCATCACGGGTTCACCGATGGACTTGCGTGATCCTCGTATTCTTGCAATGACAACAGCTCAACACCACTTTCTTGAAGCAGAGTATGATGAGTATGCCGCTACTAATAGTAGTGGCGCTGCATTCTGCCGCTCTGCTGCTCTAATTGTAAGTCACTTTATTAATTACAATTTTCAAATTCTTAAACTTGAGTTTCGCTGGAAGAAAATGTCTGGTGTTAACTCGCTTGTATGGTTTTTCCTCTGAATTCGTTATATTTCTTCGCTTGTTCCAGTTAATGGCACTTCTTCTTCTGAGGCATGCATTAAGCATCACTACTGATGGAGATGATGATCCTTCCACTTATTTTTCCGTATGTGAACTTTTTGATTTGCATTCTTTTAGAAATCACATACTATTCTTGTCATTCCTCTATTTTTATGACCCTTATCATATCTTTTGATTTGATTATGTAGCTATTTTTGCTTCGGGCTGCCGGATTTTTATTGCCATGTTATATCATGGCATGGGCTATAAGCATCCTACATCAGAGAAGGCAAAGAAGGGTAAGGAAAATACATTCTGCATTTTCACTAAATTCAAGCTTATCAATATGTTGTTTGCATGACCCTTCTGTAGTGTATATATATAGGGGCATTTACATACATACCATACAATTCTCACATATTTACAATTGTAACACCTAAGCATTCATATTTCTCAAATATTTAACATCACATAAAAAATTCTATATCACTATTTTCTTTAGAAAGTGAAAATACACATTTTCATGCTTAAGTTTATGACTTCAATGTGTCTTAAGTGTAAATATGTAAATACATAAGAATTGTATGCATGAAAATTTCCCATATATATATACTGATCTATTCTAGCTATATTTAAAATACTACATGTATAGTAAAAATATTAATTCAATGTTAATTGAACAGGAAGCAGCGGCATTGGCAGCAGCTGAAGTAGCATTTATTCTACAATCAGGAAGAGGAAGGAGCCTGCAGTTTACGATTGCGCCTGAAACCCCTGCAACTCCTCAGCAAGAGCCACATCAATGAATGCATATTTCAGATAGCTTACATTATGTACAAAACAGCTGCCTACAGCAGCCATGAGTTCGATTCATCCCCATTTGTGCTTCATGGCGAAAATTATAATATATTTGTTTATTTGTTTTCTTTCTCTATCTCTTATAATATATATATATATATATTGTAACTTTCTGCATGTTGTCCAAGAAACCTAGAATTTTAGATTTGTAAATAATTGAAATGATTTTCAGAATTGTGGAGATAAGGTGCTTTTGAATTACTTTGAAAGTGTACCGTATTGGTGATATCAGATTAGTTTTTTTCTCATTTCTACGAGCCAAATTTGAGCAAGCCCTATGGAATCAGTTTTAAAGTTTTGTACATAAAATGTAATATTTCATTGCATATATATATTTCACATTTTTATAGCTCATCTGTGTTGTTGATTGTTAAATGCTTAAAAAGTTTCAAAACAACGTCCATGTGCATATAAGAAAAATTATGCATTTTTTTCTGACGCCATGCGTACAATATTGCAAACGTTATGATCAAATCAACCACTGAAAAAATATAAAATTCAACTGTGATCATGATTATCAGGAAGACGATCACTTTCAGCACAATGATTCCAAAGCATTTTACATAAAACTCCTAAACTTCAATGCTTGCATACAAGCTACCTTGCAAAACATGAAAAGATGTAATTCATTTGTTAGAGAGTTAAAATGGTAATTTTTTTTTTTAGAGATTTGAAAGATTTGTACTGTATATACATATTTAATCAATGAGTGAAGTTTAGGAGTTACATTGGATCTGAGTGCTATGTATGTAAATGCCCCAAAAGAAAAAAATCACTTTTTCCATTAGAGAAGCATTGGATGCATGTTTATCCACCAATGTTACGATGCAAAATACTAATTTCATTCATCAACAGCAGAAGTAAACTTAACTTAAATCATCCATAAATATGAGTTGTAGGCTAAATTTCTTTCTTTGCAAGCGGGAGGAGAAAAAAAAACTCAGTTATAATCTACTGAACATTCAGCTTCATCTGCTAGTCCTAATGAAGTATCATTCCTTGAATAATTGCCAACAAAACGACCCAACTCATTGCTATCATGCTGCACCCTTCCACTTTTCTCTAGGCAGAAACCATTAGCCGTTAGGGCATTTAATTTCATCTTGTCAGGCTTCCTATTGGGTCCAGTATTAACGAATACTGGTTGTACTCTGACAGTAGGATTCGGCTTTATGCGGTTTTGTTCTCTTTCTTCTGCAGGTCTAAGTATTCTGTACTCGGACTCCATTTCCGCAGCCTCATCTTTGTTCAAAATCACCTGCAGAAAGAAAAGAAAAAGGTTCAGAAGGTCGTTTTTGTTTTAAATTATAGTAATGTTTAAACCTTAAAAAGCTAGTTTTTTCTTCATTAATTATAATAATGTTAATATCTTCGAACAGCTCGTATTTGACTCAATAAGCAGATGAGTCGATAAAAATGAAAAATTCGGCGCTCATTTGCTTAACAAGCCAAAAACAAATAATACTCAAGTTTGCTCCAGTTTCAAACTCTATCATGCGAGTCGATGTTATGCTCGGCATGAAGACTATTTTGATCACCACCGTATCACGCTCCTCAAGTTTATCCAGATTGTCAACTCCAATCTCAAATCACTGCCTCCAACAAATTTCAAGCGATTATCAAAGTGAAGCCTTCCATCTTATGACCGAGATTAATAATTAAAGTTCTTTTGTGGATGAATCCCGGAGCTGTCAACCTAACACATCAAGCAACCAAAGGAGGGATTGATAGGCTTGCTTTTTTTGGAGACTAGTACTTGGTGGGATCTTTTGCGTATGATCTATAATTATAACGCCCAAATCACATCCTAAGCTCATTGACCGACCCTTTTCCATAAGGCCTGGATTTTCATAATTTTGAACGTCAGGACATAATTTAACAGTGTCTCTAGGGATCAGCTGGATGGCATAAAACCGATGCTAAACAAGCACGGCTTCATTGATTGAAAACTGTATCCAAACAATGGTTCACCGTTGAGGAAGATTTCTGCAGCTGGTGGTTGCAGAGTTGATCGTTTCCATTACTCTCAAACTTCTCTTACAGGCCATCGCCTTCGAAACTTACTAGTTTTTAAAAAGCGTTGGAGGGGAGGGTGCTTTTTCTTGGCTGGTTTGGATCCTGGTAATTTGACTCCATCCAAAAAGAATGAATTGAGCTGAGCACTGAAATCATTATCAACGGAAACTACTGCCACTAAGATTAGATGGCTTAGTTAAAGCTATAGAACTTGTTGATGGACGTTGATACATTTTTCTTCCTCCATGTTAAATTCAAAATTGTTCGCGAGACACGCCTGCGAAATGAGACGCCAAAGGGACAGAGAGCAAGAGCAAGGAGAGCAAAAGTATATTGTACAATAGTAAATTTGCGTAACCTTTATTCATGAAATGGACCCATATTTATAGGAATGAGGGAAAGTATAATTACGTACTGTACCCCTAGTGTGTGTGTGTGTCTATATGACAAGGGAATTTTAGTCAAGACATAAATATTAGGCTGGAAACCCGGAAGGGTCCCGACCGAATGGGGTCTGGATCCTAGAAAGCTCCTGACTAGGCAGAACCGGGTCCCTAAGAAGACGTCCGACCGGATAGAGCTAGGTGCCTATGACAGTCTCCCATCTGGCTTCATTTTGGCCGGGGCGGATTTTCGCTAGAGGCCCGGTGTAAACTTGATTTGGCTATTTGTTGAGATTTTTATCCCTGCACAGGTCGGGTGGAAAGCTCGAACCAACTATTACGGGGTTGAGCGATTCACTTTGCTTCTCCGGCCAAACTGAGAAAAAGTGTCATTCATCTGCATGGGTCTTATGCTGGTAGATTGATTTTCAGGGAGGTGGTCGTATTCCATCCATCCGGGAAATGCTTTCCTCCTGGTCTATGGGAGCCGACCGACTAAGCATAGGATATTGAATTATCCTTGGCGGGTCCCTAAGATGCCACGCCATCTTTCTCCGCCAGCTGTGGGATTGGATATCCTCGAGATTTGTGCTAACACATTTTTAAGATACATATTAAAGTTCTTTGATTCTCTTCTTCCTTGATGACGACAACTGCGATAAAAACAAAAAAAATCTTAATTTTTCAAAAATATTAGTGATCTTCATGATTATTTAATGTACAATATTTAATTATTTCTTCATTTCTGTGCCAAGACAATTATAAATAAAGAAAATGAGATAGGAGGGCTCACCTTTCATGCATCCCTTTGGACTAATCTCTCATCTTCTCTGCGGCTCTAAATATGGAGGGGGAACTGCTTCCCAAATATATTAGTGAGAAAGCTTGTGCTAAGATATTCTAGACCATGAAGAAGAGGGTCAAGTCAACTTCTAAGGGAAAAAGGCTCGGTAAATTAACTGCTTCCCAAATATATTAGTGAGAAAGCTCGTGCTAAGATATTCTAGACCATGAAGAAGAGGGGCAAGTCAACTTCTAAGGGAAAAAGGCTCGGTAAATTTGTTGTGCCTGAGGTGAAGGCTTCCGAACCGATTGTCGAAGTAGAATTGTCGGATTCAAACAATGGCCGCCCTGCAGAGGGTTCCTTAATAGCGGAGGGAGGTTTTCCTGTGAAGAAACATCGCATGACGGGAAAAACCCATCTTAATGATGATACGACGAAACAATCAATCCGGCCTTCAATTTTTCTCGAACTGAGGTAAGAGCAGGACAAGAGCCTACCTTTATGTTGATACCTCTGGAGGCTCCAACTGCTAATGACTAAGCGGATGTTCCCGCCTTTGCCTGGCAGATACTTCCCAGCTCGTCTCTCATCTTCCGTCGATGGTGCATGAGGCTAGAGAGGGAGCTTGGCTCCTTCACCACTTCAGACATGAATCAAATGACGGACGACAGTAAGAAGACTTCGCTTCCCACTGAACCTGACGCTGCCCAGACCGGTGTCGTAGTGGATTTGGGGTCCGTCAAAGGATCCAGACCTTCTGGAGGACCACACAATGACAAATCAATGTGCCCGACGGTCGACCTGTCGGGAGTGACAGGTGTGTCAGGATCGTCCGGCTTGGCTAAGCTTTGTCTTCATGAGGTTGAGGCTTCGTCGGGTCAAGAAACTGATTGTCTTCAACTCTGTAATGTGCGACTAGATTAGTTGGAGAGAGAATTAGCTGCGGTCCGGGCTTGCAAGTCACTCTTCTGAAGCTGCTAACATCTCTAAGGGCCGAGTTAACTGTCGTATGGGAGTAAGTTTCGATCTCCCGGCTGTATTATGAGATGAATAGAGTAGATAAAGTTAGGATAGGAGGAGAGGCAATGTATAAGTTGTTGTCTTTGTTAGGTTATGTCCTGGTTGATGCTACGAACGATAGTTTTGTAAAGTTTTTTCCTTTCCAATTAAGTAGTTTTTAGCAGACGAGCTTTCTCCGGTTGAGTGTTTGTAACCGGATGAGAAATGTATAAATATTTGTTTTTGTTAACATATTCATATATGCATGCTTAATTTGATGTAATGAAAATACCCTACGGCCCTTGTGTCACTTTGATTACTATTATGCAGTAGTGAATCAATTGATTAGCTCCTCATGCCATCTTCCTCCTCTGTGTGACCCCCTCTTCTTCTCCTCATCGCTCATGACTCCCGGGGTTGAGTCAGTCTTTACAGAGGAGCAAGTAGTGGGCTCGCTGAAGTCATTTGCTTTCAGGTAGGACGTCCTTCGACCAACCGCAGAAGGTGAAAAATCGGTGGGCAACTTTGGCGATAGCCTGGTTGTGTATGTCGATCAGTTTCGATGCGGCATAAAGCTGTCATTCCGCAGTGATATAAGATCTATCTTCAACTGTTACGATGTCATCCCTGCGCAGGAGACACCGAATTCTGTCGCGAGAATCATGACTTTTGACATCTTCCTTCGACGGGCGGAAATACCACGGTCCATCGAACTCTTCTCCTATTTCTCCGGGTTCAAGGTGGATCGGGATGGCTATGCCGTTTTTTTTTCCGCCCCAAACTTAGGGTAATGGGTCGGGAGTAATGTCAAAGATTGACGGTGAAGTTTGTAGTTGGCATGCACTGGAGGAGATGAGGGATTTCCCTCCGACCCACTGTGAAGGAGGTGAAGAGATTAAAGCTTTTACCGGAACACGTCCGATGCTATGTTGACATGATTGAGGGGGAGGAACTGTCAGGGTTCCAATTTGTTGAGCGAGACGTCATCAGCACGGCCTTATGGCCCGACACTTTTGGCGACATAACTGTGTGCGCTTGTAGGAAGAATCATATGTCAGAGAGAATAAAATGATGAAGGCGGCGACGTCAAAGGATTCCAAAAAGAAACCTCGGCCGAAGATGCCTCTAGAGAAGGGGGGCCCCCAACTTCATGATTGAGGATGCCCCATGGAAAGTCTGACGTTGGTAAAAACACTACTTTTGTTCTTTCTTTTTCTTCTTCATATATATATATATATATATTAATTGGTGGCTCATTGAAGCAGGTGCAAGGACTTCCGCCGTGCTCCGAGAGACTTCATCCGGATCGTCAGAGTTCCAACAGTCGAATTCTGGAAAAGTGGCTCTCCCGGGCAGACTACCTAAGAGGATAAAGGATTTAGGTGCCTCTTAACTCGACCCTCAGGAAAGGACTACCACACAACATTCTTCTCCCTTGCTGGTGGTATCTGACTCTGAAGATGATGAGGGTTCCAAAATCGAAATCCAGGAGCGAGCTGATAGGGATCAGAAAGGGGGAAGACCCGCTGATGGAGATTCATCACCGCCTCCTCCTTTGTCTAAGAAAATGGGGTCACATCCAGGGTGGGTAAGCTGTCTAGACGGCGAGAGTACCATGTTCGAGAGTTCGGGTGGTCGGTACATAATGGTTGACACCTAGAGGGACTAGTTCACTGGTCTTCCCCACTAGGTAGGAGCCAAATCTTCCCCAACTCCTAGCAGAAGTGATCTGATCTAATGGCCTCAACTCCGTGCTGGCGGGCATCGGTTATGTCGATCTTTGTAAGACCTCTGATCGATGCAACGCTTTAAACTTGTCAGATTCTCACTACCAGGCGAAGGCCTTAGTACATGAGGAACAAAAGAGGAAGGCCACCAACCAAATGGTAGCCAAGGTGGCGGAAGGCAAGAGGAAGGCTGAGCTGGAACTTCCGTGCCTAAGGAAAAAATTGAAAGATTCAACCCAGGCATGGGAGGCGAAGGACCACGACTATGAGCAGACCATCGCCATGTAGTCTGCAAAAAATAAGGATATGAAGGAAAAGATGGTCAGGCTGATCTCCAAAGGAGATCATGTGGTGGCTCTTTCGAAGCAGATTCAAGTTGGTTTGGCTATAACGGCGTAACACTTTGTAAAGGGAGGACTGGTTGAGCCCAAATGATCGGATATACACTAATTCACCTCTCATTTTGTTGACTCTGAGGATGAAGATGACGAGGCGGATCAACCGAGTGGAGACGGAGCCGAAAGTGGTGGCAGACATGCAGCCGACTATGTCTCATATATGTATTATTTATATTATTATTATTATTATTATTTTCCTTTATATGTAAACAAAATTGAAAATGTTAGCACAATTCAACCATGCTTGGCTGGCGAACACTCATGGATTCACAGGAAAATCTTGTACACCTTTTGAGGAAATGAATATAAGTTTTTTCCTATTTTCTTAACTTTATTCAATTAGCTTTGCCTTTTCGGCCTTCAGCAAAGTGCTCACCTTTCAGTAGCTAACACGTGCTTGTATGACTTTATGAGATTATTCATCTTTCCGCCCTCGTGGGCTGTCCGACTTGGAGCGAAAGATCTCATCAAGAGATGAATGAGTTGTTTGTGGAAGCTGAGTTTGGCGGAGCAGCCTAAATGGTGCGGCTATTCAATCTAGCTTTTGGACCTAATATGTGCGAACTTGTTGATATGAATTGTTACTTTTTGATTTCATGTTCAGTCGGGCAATTCAGGCGCCACATTTGGCATCCCTCATTTTTTGGGCAAAATCGAGCAATCTTGGCGCTGCGACCTGTCGTTCTTCCATTTCATGCTCAGCCGGAGATTTTGGCACCGCGGCTAACAGTCCTTATTTTCAGGCAAGGTCGGACGATCTTGGTGCCCCAACTTGCTGCTCTTCCATTTGATAGTTAACCGAGCGATCTTAGCACCACGACTGGCATTCTTCATTTTCGGGCAAGGTCGAGCAATCTTGACGCTGCGTCCTGCCGTTCTTCCATCTCATATTCAGTCGAACGATCTTGGTGCCACTGCTGACAACCTTTCTTTTCGAGCAAGGTCGAGCGATCTTGACGCCGCGTCCTGTCGTTCTTCTATTTCATGCTCAGTCAGGCGATCTTGGTGCCACAGCTGGCAACCTTCATTTTCGGGCAAGGTCGGGCAATCTTGGAGCCCCAATCTGTTGTTCTACTTCAAGCACAACCACGCGATCTTGACGCCACGGCTGGCAGCTATCATTTTCGAAAAAGGTGGGGCGATCATGATGCCTCGTCTTGCCATTCTTCTATTTTATGTCATGCCGTGCTACTTAGCGCCATGGATTAAAGCCTTCATTCCAGGCAAGATCAGGCGATCTTGGCGCCATGACCTACCGTTCTTCTCTTTTATACTCAGCCGAGCGATCTTGGCGTCACGACTGACTGTCTTCATTTTAAGGAGACTCGCCTAAGGAATGAAGCGCTAAACGGAGAGAGAGAGCAAGGCGAGCAAAAGTACAGTATATAACAATAAATTTGCCTAACATTTATTCATGAAATGTACCAATATTTATAAGAATAGGAGATGAATAATTACATATTGTGCCCCTAATATACATAGATATGACGAGGGTAGCCAATACATGAATATTGGGTCGAAAGCCCTTTCGCCGGACGGGGTCGGGACCATTGAAAGCTTCAGGCCGGATAGGGCCAGGTCCTTAAGAAGACATACGGCCGAACAGAGTCGGATCCCTAAGAAGTCGTTTGGCCTGGTGCCTATGACAACATTTCACCTAGCTTCATTTTGACAGGGCGGTCGTTCGTTGGGTGCTCAGTGTAAATTATCGATTTGGCTATTTGTTAAGATTTTTATCCTTGCACAGGTTGGGTGAAAAGCTCTGACCAGCTGTTTTGGGACCGGGCGATTTGCTTCAGTTCTCTGACCGAAGTCGCCGAACTAAAAAAAGGTACTAGATTCATCTGTGTGAGTCTTGTGTCGGTAGATTGATATTCAGGTAGTCGTCATATTTCATCCATCTGGGAAATACTTTTTCCTGGTCTATGGAAGTTGGTTGGCTAGGTATGAGATATCGGATTGTCCCTGAAGGGCCCCCACGATGCCATGTCGTCTTCCTCTGCTGGCCATGGGATAATATCCTCGAGATTCATGCTGACATATTTTTTATATACACTCCATAAGATTCTACCTTCACTGGGGCACCACCATAGTGTCTTTTGGACTAAAATGTGCTACTTGGTTATGAAGTTAGAGAACTTTCTCGATTAGTTGCAATACTTTTCACAACTATAGTCAACGTAGGAGTTAGCCTTTAGATTGCTAGGACCAATCCCATCAGTTGTATATTTATAAGAGCTTAGATGGGCTTACAACACAGCTCTATAGATTATTATATTGGGCCACCTTCCGTAAGTATGGAGGTGAAACTAAACTCTAAAACCTAAACTAAAATATTATGCTGAAGTGCGGCCCTTTTGGTAAAGGAATTAGTGGGTGCATTTTGGTTGGCATTATTTTAATTGCTCAATAAGATATTTCTTTTTAGGCTTCATGATTATAAATAAGAAACTTAATTATGTAAAAGACTCAATTGTTCAGAATCATAGTTTAATTAGATGACTTCTTTTTTAATTTTTGGAAATCAATTCATTTAAAAATTAAAGGACTTCGAAAATTTTTAAGGAAATTCTATGTACAACAAAATACTTCTACTTTCAATGACATCTTCCCTTCAACTTTTTACCTCTTGCTCTAAACTTTGTTCTTGGATCGACATGCAATTTATTTATAAATGAACATGTCAATTTCAACTCTTTGGTATTTTAATTTTGGACATTTACTCATTATTTCTAATAGAAAGAAATTAAAGTTTCATTGTATTTGATTTTGTATTTTCAGTTTTCACCAGAAATAGAGTATAATTGTTAACATTTAAGAATTCGCAGATAGCAAATTTATATATGAAATCCTAAAACCTAAGATATCCTACATCATCTAGAGATTAGTTTAAAAATAAACTTCATATCCAGAATGTTAATTAGAAAAGAGACAACTCTTAAGTAATTATTGCCAGAAAATGAGGTTAGTCCTATGAAAAATCACACAACTGTTAACTAAATGCCATATCTTCTCTATGATAAGGTCATCCCTTAAAGCAAAATGCTGAATGATAAACTCTCTGAAAATGATTCAATAACCCTGGAGAATAAAAGGAGGCTTCAAGAATAAAGCCCAACACTGGATTGCATATTATCAGTTTATCTGACTTGGTAAATCACACGTCAAGTATTGGCATAATTTCTATTTAGCATAGTGAAATTAAGGGATATTACCATTTATGAGCATTATTTTCATAAACTTACTCAATTATCACATTGACATTTTCTTTAGCATAGTTATAGAAAAGTAAACTGTTGTTGTAAAAACCATCAAAATTCTAAGTACAAGCTAACATGAGGCACAAGAGCAGCTAAGTCAGGAGTCTCAACAATATCAAGGATAAATCTGTCAAAAAAATAGCAAAAATAAAGCGCATTTGTTGTCCGACTAGTTCAATATCTAAAAACATAATTGAATAACAACACTTTGGTGAGTAGGTACTCACCTTGCGGCCAACCAAATCAAATGTCACAATAACTTTTCCTCTCCGGGCTTCCTCAGCTTCTTCAGTTTCTTTTTGCTTCTTCTTTAAGAGCTCCTTTTCCTGAAATACAAGCAATTGTTAAAAGCATTAACAAAAAATAGTAGACGAATGATGTAAGAAGGAAAATATGTTCATTGTAAACCACCTAAATCTAGAATCTTGCATTATGTTGTAGGGCTATTCTTAGATATTTACTTCTTTAGCAGGACTTGCATGGGCGGAACTCCAATTGCAAGCCACTCCCCCCCTCCCCACATTTAGATTTTTATAATTTTTATCAGTGATTATTATTATTATTTTCTTTATTTTCTTGCTCCCCCTCTAGAGTATCATTTGCCCCCTCTGACCAGCCAGCCTGCAGCCTCTCTAATTTTTTATTCTGGATTTCTCTTCATGTTCAAGGCCTAACCCTTATTTAAGCTGGAAATAAAATGACTTAATTAACATTAATACAAGTCTAACAAAAGTAATTAAAATCAAATATTAACTTTAAATTGAGAGCTCTCTCACACATAAAAGTTTAACACCACACTTACAGCCTAGAGAGTTTTCATCGCCAGACCTATGGCTTTTAATTTATAGAGCAACACTGCTGTAATATTTTCCAATGTGAGACAAAAAAAAGCTAGAAAACGTAAGGGTTTGCTGGCATTTACATACATACCACGCAATTTCTATGTATTTATATATCTAACACCTAAACTCTAGTTTTTTTTACATTTATACCATGCATAGATAAAATGACAAATGTAAAAATTGAAATCTAGGTGTTAGATATGTAAATACACATATTTTCTTGCATAGATAAAATGACAACAACAACAACAACAACAACAACAAAGCCTTAATTTTACATAAAATTTTAATCATATTTTATTTAAATTATATTACTTTTAGTTATAATTTATATTAATTTTTTTAACGTCACCCTTATTCAGTGTTTTATAATAATAAAAAAAAATTTAATTTATATTTTTTATATTTTTTAAAATACATTATTATTAAATAGCTTTATAAATAAAAATATGTGTAACGTATGCATTTAAATTAATTTATAAGTCTAAGTTATGCTGCATTGTTTTGGATATCTAGCCGTGTAAAACATTGAGGTTCTTCGTGTCAGTCCAGATAAGTTCTTCTTTTTCTTTTATATTTGGGTGACCTTCTTTTATAATTGAGGTCTTGCATTGGAAATAATTCATGGTAAAATATGCTTGGTTTCATAAACTAGAAATGTGAAATACATAAAACAGATTTCTTAGTATTTTAGTGTGAGATTAGCAGAAAAAACAAACAGACACCAATAAATACTACAGATTTTCATAATGTGGTCCATGACTTGCATGGGAAGGAAGGCATGGAAAAATATGCTTTCATAAACTAGAAATGTAAAAATATAAAACAGATTTCTTAGTATTTTACTGTGAGATTAGCAGAAAAAACAAACAGAAACACCAGTAAATACCACAGATCTACATAATGTGGTTCAAGCTGCGGCTTGTTGTCAGCATTTTTGTGGAAAGGTACTGTAGCAGGCTAGGCAATCTATCAGAATTCTTCAGCAGCGGGTCTTAATAGACGTTAATGATGCTATTGTGCGGGTTCAGCACATCTTACAGGCTTTATGCACAGCTTCTCTGATCCACGTGGCTTCATCTCAATTGGCTCGGTGCTTACTTTGGCTTCTCTCTACAGTTGGCTCTTGTGGCTACCATTTCGATTTTTCCTGAGAGTGGCTTCAGTGGCTTACACTTTTACAGAGTTTTAACGGTATTCTTCTTTCAGGTATTGCTGCTCAGTATGGACTGAATAAAAAAAATATGTGATTACTCCAACTGCTTCTATTTCTAGAGTTTCTCTATGGCAGTTCTACTTCTGTGTCATTTCATAAAATTATTATTCCGCTGTATATAAATTTAACTTGGTTTCTGTGTCATTTGGTGCTACGCTAGCTCTATAAATTCAATCAGCAGAGAAATGTATGAAAATTATTATTCCGCTGTATATAAATTTAACTTGGGATGTGTAAATCAATCTCTCTATGGGATTCAAATCTTTGATCAAAATGTGAGACTTAAAAGTACTCCACGTAAGACTGCCTCCTTGTTCAGGCATGTGACTTGTCACTTTGTGAGTTCTGCCCGTCCTCTTCTCTCTCTCTCTTCCTTCTTATTCTCTCTTATATAGTTATTGGTTGAATGTGTAATTGATTTTTGTCAGATCTGGAACAATAGAGTTTAATTTGTATGAACTTTTTCAATCGCTTGAGTAAATTTTGTAAGACTTAATTGCCTTGTCATTAATTTCTATCAGATGACTAGAATTCATTCTTCTAAACTAGATTTTACAATCTCTAGTTTTCACAGGAATTAATAAACAATTATTTTAACCCTAGCTAGCTTTCCTTGCAAAATTTCAATGATTATGTCATCAGTTGGTTACATTTAAAATGTTAGTGTTAGTTGTGAAGTAGAAAATTCATGCTCTAGAACGAGCTACATCAATATTGATATTAAAGCTCTAGGATAAGTGTTAATTAGAAGTGGGCTTAATATTACGGTTAGTGAACGAAAAATAAGGAAATACAATTTTCTTAAATCTGAAATAACAATTAAATGAAACTTAAACAAACTCAATTTAGGTATGATTCTAGAAAATTTCAAGACGATCATTATAAAGTATAGAATAATATCCAAAGCTTCAATGGGAGGTATAATTCTAAGTTATTTTCATATTGGTTATAAAAAGTAGAAGAGTTTGAAAGCTGTAACATGTGTGATTTTAAAAAAAATGTACTAAAACAAAATTGAAAGGATCTTGTGGGAAATAAGAAAATGATGAATGGGATCCAAGGAGGCATCAGTTTGCTTAGGAGGAAAAGGAAAGCGGTCATTACATGGGAATGGTTTTTCTAGAAGAAAATGAATAAATGGCTTTCACGAGTTATTGGAACATATCTTTGCATTTGAATTTCAAATTTGTATAGTTTTTTCTTTGGTAAGTTGTCATAAAAAGATAGCACTATTGTACTTGTTAAATAATAAGTTCAAAAAATTATATACTTCTCCCAACTTGCATGGTATAACAGCCCAAAATTAGGCCGTCACTTTGAGTTTCCTAAGGGTTCAAGGCAGACATAAATTGATTAGAGGATTAGAGGACGGCCACCTTTTCTATGGAAGCGTGGGCCGCAGAATGAAGATCAAACATGACCAACAGCTTAAGTCCTCTATTTTAATTGTAAGTATGACTGAAAATATCTTGGTCATCAACTACCACAACCTCTCCAATTCCAAACAAATAACCATTCATAAATTGAATGGTAAAAATTATTTATAATGGCCTCAGACATCAAAATTAGCCATTGATGAAGAGGAATATAGGGCTATTTGGCTTGCAAAGTAAGAATATCAATCACAAATGATCCAACATTCATGATGCGGAGATCAAATAGCTCTAAGGATAATTTGACCTCTAACCTTGGAGGGAACTATTGCAAAAACCAATATATTTGTTCAAACCAAATGTTTAGGATGTTGTTGGCGAAACCTATTCAAATTTAAAAGATCCCTCTTAAATATATGAATTAAATTCAAGGCTTTAGAAATCTAAAAGATAAAAAATATGAAGTTATCATCTATTACAATAAGATGGTAATATTGTGGCAAATGTTGTGTCAATGTGTAAAGGTGTGGAAAAACCTTGACATATATTTCAATTTTAAGTTAAAAAAAATAAAGTAAATGATGATGTTTACATGTTTTTTGTTGGAAAAAAATTAATGAATTGCAATCTAAATGAAGTTAAGAGCAGAATTTTGAGAAGAAAACCTTTCCCATCAACCTATGAGGCTTTTTGTGAGATCAAATAGGAAGAATATAGAAAATAAGATAATGAAACTCAAGAAATATTTTTGGAATTGGAAATCTTAAAATAGCCCTCCAACAATTCATGTGTGATAATTTGATCCTTGTGTATTATATTTCTCTAAATTAATCTTTTAATTCTACAAAAATAATTCAAAATAGGCCCCCGTATTGAAATTGAGATGCAAAACTGATCTATCTCAATCCTTCGGCTATAGAAAAGTGGTCCTAATTCAATTATTGAGGGACCAGTTTGGACCTGATTTTGTATAAGACAAAATAATACTTTGAAGAAATGTATTATTTTGAAACTAAATTTGCCATATACTACTATCCAGGGTATAATTTTAGAATTTTAACCTAAAAATATGCTCTCTTGAGGATCAACTATTGAGGGAGAAAAAAAAGAAAAAAAAAACATGGTGTCAACACCACCAAACTGTAACATAAAAAGGAGACTTTTTGGAAAATTTATGGAAAGCAAATACACTTAAAAGCTAACCCTAAGAAAACGTGATTCAAACCATGAGTAAATTTTCCTAGGAGCAATTCATTGAAACAGAAACACTCCTTTCCGAAAGGTATAAATAAAGCACTTGTGGAAACTCTTCTAACTTTTAACTTTATGTGGTTACTCTTTATAACTTCTTATTAATTGGCACAACATGATATTAAAATTGATTGTTCCACATAAAAATTTGAGCCACAAGACTCGTGGATTATTGATAATGGAACAACCAATCACACGGAAAATCACACGAAAAGTTGCACAAATCTATTTTCTTCCAATAGAACTTCTATCAAAATAAAAAAAAAGAAAAGGTTTGTTAATGGGACCTTCTAAGCTACAACCAGGATAGTCCAATTTAAATTTCTCCTTTACTAACCTCTCATAATATTCTTCATGCCGTGCAAATAATTATCTGTTAATAAATTAAAAATTGAAACAATTATCATGTTAATTTATATTCCAACTATTATAAGTTTCAGGAACCAGCCTCATTGAAGATGATTGGCAATGATAAGAAGTGCAAGGAACACTTTCTTTGACGATGGAATAAATCTGAGTAAAGAAGTTCATAGCACTTGTTTTGTGTAATTCTAATTTTGATTACATGAATTAACACTGAAGCATTACAAACTTGGCCACCATAGTTTTCTACATTTAATATGATTATTTTCAAATCGATTCTA